AGCTTGGATGAAGTTTTTACAATCTTACAACTTTACAATCAAGCACAAATCTGGTGTTCAAAATGTAGTTGCTGACGCATTGAGCAGAAAACATTCTTTATTATCAACAATGGAAGTCAAAGTGATTGGATTTGAAACATTCAAAGATCTATATGAGAATGATGTGGATTTCGGCTCGATATGGCAGAATTATAAATCAGGTTCCTTTCAATAATTTTTTATCTTTGATGGTTTTCTTTTTCGAGCTAATGCTTTATGTGTTCCAACTTGTTCTTTGAGACAAGTAATTCTAGCTGAAGCTCATGGTGGTGTTTTGGGAGAACATTTCGGTAGAGACAAGACTCTAGCTCTTATTCAATCGAATTTCTACTAGCCTAAAATGTTCAGAGATGTGGATAAACATGTGAAGCAATGCTGATTGTGTCATTTGACAAAAATAAGAAGTCAAAATTCTGGTTTGTACACTCCATTACCAGTGTCAAATACTCCATGGGAGGATGTGAGTCTTGATTTCGTTTTGGGACTGCCAAGAACTCAAAGGAACAAGGATTCTATCATGGTTGTTGTTGATAGATTTTCAAAAATGTCTCACTTTGTTCCATGCAATAAATCAAATGATGCATCTCATATTACTGATTTATATTTTAAGGAGATTGTTAAATTGCATGGTATTCCAAGAACTATGGTGTCTGATCGAGATTCAAAATTTGTTAGTCATTTTTTGAGAACTCTTTGGAGGAAGCTGTGTACTTCTTTGAATTTCAGCAGCTCGCATCATCCATAAACCGATGGGCAAATTGAGGTAACAAACCGAAGCTTAGGAAATTTGCTTAGAAGCTATGTTGGCAAGAATATTAAGCAATCGGATGTCATTCTTCCACAAATTGAGTTTGCCTACAATCGTTTTATGCATCATAGTATTGGTAAGAGTCCTTTTGAGGTAGTTTATGGTGTTAATCCTACTGGTCCTTTGGACTTAATTCCTTATTCTACAACAAAACAATTTAGTGGAGATGCTGATGAAAGAGCTAAGCAGATAAAGAAGCTACATGAGGGTGTGAAAGCAACCATTGAGAAACAAAATGAGAGGTACATGCAAGCTGCTAACAAACACAGAAAACTTATGGAGTTTAATGCAAGTGATTTGGTATGGATTCATCTAAGGAAGGAGAGGTTTCCACCGGGAAAATTTGGAAAACTAAAACCTAAGGCTGATGGTCCATTCAAGGTGCTTAAGAGAATTGGCAAAAATGCTTATGAGATTGAGCTACCTAAAGATTACGGAGTATTCCTAACATTTAATATGGCTGATTTAAGTCCTTTTTATAATCATGATGACGAAACAAACAAGAACTTGAGGACAAGTCTTTTTTAACCAGGGGAGATTGACACGGGAGTGTCTAATTTGCTATA